GCACACTTGTCACCCGTCGGCGTGTTAGAGGAACATTTCTCCCCATGAAGACCAGTACAGTTGGTCTTCCAGGAGCGTATAACGTTACGCATGTTATTCACACATGCCGCCGTGCTGCTTATGATTAGTAGTCTATACTCCGTGTAGTTATTACAATTATGCAATTAACTTATTCACCCTACAGGTTAAATATACTGCCAAGTTCGAAAGCGGCTATGTACTGTCAAAAATCATAGCGAACGTTGTAATTCCTGGGAACGGGTTTTAAGAGATTTCAGTAGCTGCAGCTTTCTGTCAACAAGACCTAATTTCTTGTGTCCTCTGGGAGTAAGAGTTTTGGTCGAATAGCAATTATCGACGATAAGATATCATAAAACCAGATAGAAAATTTGTGGAAGATTAAGTCAATCTCACATGAAAAAAAGCCTAGGGCACCTAACTATCTGCGACTCGAAAGACAGAAAACCACAGATCTGAAGATACGTGGACCAGTTAGTCGGTCCATATCAAGTAGGTGGGCGAGTATTGAAGCGAATGTGATTGCGACAGTTTGCCATACGGAGTTTTTCTAGGAACTGGTTGATTAGGCTCCCAACTGTTGCAGCAACCGGTGCGCCCACTATGTGCACGTGTCTGAGACCAAATTCCTCGTGAACCAATAATTGAGTTAGGGCTTATTGGCAACTGTCATCGGAATTTTTTACTTCAAGTGGTGTCCGTCAGGGCTGTCCACTTTCGTCATTCCTGTTTATATTTGTCACAGACTTGCTTCCGGAGATATCACTATATTTGTCTGACTTTTCAGGAGTTGAACTTCTACCGAGCGATTCGATTGTAGACTTAGAATTTGACGATACACAGTTTACTTGGTTCAGAGGCTGATGAAATGGAATATCTCCGGACTACCCTAAGCAACAATGCAAGATTGTTTGGGATGCCATCCTCCCCGTCGAAATGCAAAATGTTACTTCAGGATTGGCTTGTATCGGCACCGGAACTAGTGATAGGTAGTGAAGTAGATGAGCGTGTCGACCGCTTTAATTACCTTGGGAGTATCACCAGTGCTGATGACTGAAGAAATCTCAGCGCGGAAATAGAAGGCTCGACTGGCTTTTGCCAATTTACATCACTTACAACGCAGGCGAGATATCTATTTGCTAACCAAAGGACGAGTGTACTACGCAGCAGTTCGCTCCGTCCTACTATATAGATGCAAAACATTGCCGGTAAGGGTAGAAGACATTCGTAGGTTACTAGTATTCCCTGACAGAATCGTTGCTCCTGTATCCTGGGACAACCAAGTAAGCAAGGTTCTCGTTAGGAAACGAGTACTAGGTAGGGATGGTAGATCGGTAGATGAAGTATTGAAATTCCACCAGTTGAGGTGTTTAGGATATGTGTTACCAATGCCAAACCACCGACTGCCTCGACGAACGATGTTTCGTAGTGTGTAGGTTTGAGGAATGCAAGGGGCAGTCAAAGCGAATCATGTCACAAATTTATGAGGTCTGAGTCAAGTTGGTAGGTGTAGACTAGCTGGTTTGGCTCCGCGAGACGATAGTAAACGATGGTTAGGGACCTTGAATGACATGGCTCACAATCGCTTGCAATGGCGCAGGTGCGTCCACTCGTTGTGTTCTATGAAGTTTTCATCTTCTAAAGTTCGTCATTACCTCTACTTTTGTCCCTCTAAACTTATCTCACTGGATTATACTTCTTGAATAATATCTTTGAACACTGATCTTTTCTGTTACCAGTACTACTTCTATCTCTACCACTACGGGAGTGGAACTGACAATTGTGTCTCTGTGCTAGTGTGGTATGGCAACATGAACTGATGTACTTATGTACAAAGTTTTACGTTGTAACTGACTGAGTGACGAATGAGCGGCAGTCTTTAGTGTCTTCTGAACTGCAGTCAGTGGAAACGTTGGCGGAGACAACAAAGAGGAAACGGCGAGTTTCCCTATCTTTACGAATCCATACCGTCCCTTTTAGTCGGACGGCGCATAAGCGGCTGTTTGTCGGGATCCAGTCTAAGAGAGTTAGTTCTGCCCTACGACTTAATTGTATACCTACTCCAGCCAGGCAGCCGGAAGCAGTATCAGGACTTCCAGAAACACGAAGCGTAAGCCGTATTGTTTCTCTAACTGCACAAGGTGAAACCAGACTGGTGATTTTGCTCGTATCTTGTATGCGCGTTTCGGAGACGCAACATAGATCGACTGTACGGAACCCCAGAGTTCTAGCTAATGAGGCCTGTTGACCTATTTGGCACAAGGTTCAAACACTAACAACTCCAATATTTAGTTTAGAGCGTAGTTTCAGGTTAACATTTCGTGAGCTAAAACCGTTTGCTTTAGCGGCGCAGTGACAAACGATTGAGAGTAGGGTTGGTAGAGAAGATAGTTATCAGGAGGTATGGTGATTGTGACCGATTTGGTCTCGTGTGCTCTTATGGGTATGAGAACGGGTGTTACTTCCCGGCTGCTCACACTGTGGAAAGGCTCTGGTTATCAGAAGGGGCATCGTCCTCGTTCCTAGCTTTTATTGATATCAACTATTTGGATCAATCATCAGACCACACCGCAACCTGCACTGAAACGCCCCCCCAAAACCTATGCCAACAGCTTAGAAGTCATAAATTAACCAAATTCAACTACCACAGGATACATAATGCCTTCTAACCACCATCGTCTACCTCTTTCTCTGTCTTAAGGTTAGTTCGTTAGAAGATAATAAGTGACAGGTACAATCTAATTCGGTCGTATGCGGTGTATTTTCAAGTTGAGTAATCATTGACTTCACAACTTATTCTAACCGTTTCAGAATTTTGTTGGTGAACAGTTAGTCAGGTTTTATATCTGTTATGACTAATTGATGCGCTTGGATGCTGTGTGACTCAAGTAGTTGAAGCGGTCTGTACAGTTGGCTACCTCTCATTTCTTGAGATTCGGTGTCATTCCACGACAGCCTTATGGTGCCATCTGACTTTTGGGTGTAAAACAAGCTAAAAGAAAAATAATTTTTCCTCATAAAGCAAAAAAAGCATGGTAGTATGAATAACTAACTCGTTAGTTTGCAATTAACACATAAACAACCCGCTCCCAATGAGAAGACAGTACAAACACATGGAATTTCAATACTTCATCTACCGATCTACCATCCCTACCTAGTACTCGTTTCCTAACGAGAACCTTGCTTACTTGGTTGTCCCAGGATACAGGAGCAACGATTCTGTCAGGGAATACTAGTAACCTACGAATGTCTTCTACCCTTACCGGCAATGTTTTGCATCTATATAGTAGGACGGAGCGAACTGCTGCGTAGTACACTCGTCCTTTGGTTAGCAAATAGATATCTCGCCTGCGTTGTAAGTGATGTAAATTGGCAAAAGCCAGTCGAGCCTTCTATTTCCGCGCTGAGATTTCTTCAGTCATCAGCACTGGTGATACTCCCAAGGTAATTAAAGCGGTCGACACGCTCATCTACTTCACTACCTATCACTAGTTCCGGTGCCGATACAAGCCAATCCTGAAGTAACATTTTGCATTTCGACGGGGAGGATGGCATCCCAAACAATCTTGCATTGTTGCTTAGGGTAGTCCGGAGATATTCCATTTCATCAGCCTCTGAACCAAGTAAACTGTGTATCGTCAAATTCTAAGTCTACAATCGAATCGCTCGGTAGAAGTTCAACTCCTGAAAAGTCAGACAAATATAGTGATATCTCCGGAAGCAAGTCTGTGACAAATATAAACAGGAATGACGAAAGTGGACAGCCCTGACGGACACCACTTGAAGTAAAAAATTCCGATGACAGTTGCCAATAAGCCCTAACTCAATTATTGGTTCACGAGGAATTTGGTCTCAGACACGTGCACATAGTGGGCGCACCGGTTGCTGCAACAGTTGGGAGCCTAATCAACCAGTTCCTAGAAAAACTCCGTATGGCAAACTGTCGCAATCACATTCGCTTCAATACTCGCCCACCTACTTGATATGGACCGACTAACTGGTCCACGTATCTTCAGATCTGTGGTTTTCTGTCTTTCGAGTCGCAGATAGTTAGGTGCCCTAGGCTTTTTTTCATGTGAGATTGACTTAATCTTCCACAAATTTTCTATCTGGTTTTATGATATCTTATCGTCGATAATTGCTATTCGACCAAAGCTCTTACTCCCAGAGGACACAAGAAATTAGGTCTTGTTGACAGAAAGCTGCAGCTACTGAAATCTCTTAAAACCCGTTCCCAGGAATTACAACGTTCGCTATGATTTTTGACAGTACATAGCCGCTTTCGAACTTGGCAGTATATTTAACCTGTAGGGTGAATAAGTTAATTGCATAATTGTAATAACTACACGGAGTATAGACTACTAATCATAAGCAGCACGGCGGCATGTGTGAATAACATGCTTAACGTTATACGCTCCTGGAAGACCAACTGTACTGGTCTTCATGGGGAGAAATGTTCCTCTAACACGCCGACGGGTGACAAGTGTGCACACTACCTGATCGCTGATAAGAAAGTTTACGACTTCGCTAGAGTGTAACCACCCTGACCTTACTGGCTAACCGACAGTGGATCCGCATCACATACCACCTTCATAGTGACGTCGTAACCAACTATGCTAAAGTAATTTATAAATACATTTCTCACCTAATATCAAGTCCCATACCTAACCATTCGTAACCAGTCTTCAGATTCATCTCACTCATGTTGTGAGATCTTGGCATCCTCAGGTCTGCAGAGATCGTTGAATGCTTAGGGAAAAGCAAAACTAGCGATCACGACTTACTGTGAAGCACCCGCAGATTGCTGCTATGTCTCTAATATTAAGGGAAAAATCTCCTGTGCGCGGAAAATACATGAATTACTCAGTGTGACCTAAGAATACTTCAAGATCTATATGTACACAGACACTGAACACAGGTGTCCTAATGCAATACCATAAGGAGGCTTGGACGGCACGAATTTAGTCAGAAGAGAAAAAATTCCATTGCTCAGAAATATATTGGACAGTACATGACTTCTGAGAAAACAAGGACAGTTAATGACTAGTGGTTCAATTTCGAGGAACAATATTAACCAGATCAAGAACAATATTTTTCAACACATCAAAAGCATGCTCAGCCTTCTCGTAAGCTGACTTGGATTGCTCGTACGCAGAAATAACAATACTTAGGTCTTGCTGCGTCTGCAATGACTTTTGCTTTAGCCTCTGTCTATAACGTTTTGAGGCTTCACGATTAATTTCACGACGTCGTTTGGAATGAACACTTCGCCTAGCATTTGACAAGATAAAATTACTTGGGCTCGAACTTGATTTCAGACGATCAGTTCCGCAGGGATTTTCGGATACTCCAGACAGATGGTGGTCAGAAACTTGCGGTATGTAAGGAATCGGACTCGAATCAGTGCAGCCGTCATACAGCAACTCAAAATCAGTCTCTGAACGACGCATCTTAAAGGTGTTAGGAAGAAATGACCTTACCGAGTAGTCAGCGACAAAGTCAAGAACGTCCTCTGGCACAAAATCAGAAAGGAGTGAACTGCACTCTCTTCCTGAATCCGGGCTTTGGCATGTTGATATGTCAGATAAGAAATCTGTCTATTAGTTTATGTAGTAACGTACCCGAACAACTGTCAGAACTCTCGAAACTGCCCAATATGTCTGAGCGCTCAGATTTGACGGAATGATCGGTGGGGACAGTGCAAAGAGGGGAAGTGAGACCAGTACCCCATGAAGGGGTAGTGGTTTCCAACGATGATTTTCGATATAACAAGTGATCCATAGTTTATCAAGAGCAAAAGAGAGAGAGGGGTCCATTTTAGTCCCTTTAAAATCATTATGGTGAACTAAAACGCAACTGAATGAGGAGTCTAACGCCCTACGTGTTTGCGCGTCTGCGCGAAGAGAATGAAATCGTTCAAATGCAGCCAGTTAGTCCATAGTTCACTTTGCATATACTCTCGAATAAGCGGCAATTATGGTGGGGTGAAAGTGACTGATTTAAAGATAGTCCAATGCCCAATATGCAATAAACATATCACCAGGTTCTATCGGTCAATTGATTCCCTAAATCCCATATTTATTTGAGGAGTACAGTTACCTCCAAAAGCACTCAGTGCACTGAGTCTGGCACCTAATTTGCGGTAGTCCTACTGACAAAGAGTTTGTCTAATATGTTTGTAGCCAGCGATTTGAAAAAGGAAATGAAGTTTACTACGTATAGGAAGATATAATAGACTTCTGTTGCGTTCATTTAGCCAGGATTTAGATTTGACCTCCATAGAACGCCTTCAGTGCTGTTTTTGTCTGTGCAGTTCTTTCTCATTGGTTCTTTACTTAAGTTTCCACAAATTGAAGTCTGCGTATAGGTGTTTTCATATGCACCATTTTCCATATGCATATAGCAGATCTGTCTCAGAGGACTGAATTTCGGCGGTTATGTGGCAGGCATTCGGGTAAACTGAAACTGGATCGACTGGTAAGAAGTTGTAGCCACAGATTTCAGTTCTTCAGAGAACGTAGATCTAACATCGCACACGAACACGCTTATAAGTGCAATGTGCTCGGCTACAGCTGTTTTCACCCTGTCGCAATCAACTGATGATTTTGTCCAGCTCGCTGAAGACACCTCTCCTTTTCTTCGCTTGCTTTTCCTGTACTGCGATTGTATTAGGCATCTATGGCTTCTCTACTCAAGCTTAGGCTACATATGTTTGCGATGGCCATAGTCTAAATTATTGATCATGCCCGTGAAAGTGGCATGAATTTGTTACGCTGGGAATTATTTGTATATATGCAAATGGAATGTATGTATTCAGAGGTACTGATGAAATAACATTAAAGACGACAGTGTTTATGGACAAACGTTCGTAACAATTTTAGCCATATAACTACTGAGTAGTGAAATTACTCACCAATTTGCAGGTTTATTGACTACAGATTATAAACTAAGGGGTTTCTAAAAAATGTTATTTTTATAAGTTATGACGTAGTTCAAAATTTAAATCAATGTAACTTTAAGGGATGGGATGGCACTGACATTGTAAAGAACAAGTTTGTTGGTGGAAACACGGTTTCTCTTCTTCCTCTCCTCCAGACACTCTGTAAAGCATAAAGGAGATTTATGATCAAAGAACTAAGAGGACACAATGCACACCTATATTATTCGAAGCGTCAGAACTGATATGCCTTTCTTCAGCTTACAAAACATTCCTCAAAGCTCCAGTGGTGTACTACTCTAGCGTGGGCCTTCTTTTCCGATTATATCCAATCCTCATATTTGTCTCCGTTTTTGAGCGTGATTTGCTTTTTGGTCATCCTCTATTTCTTTGGCCTTGAGGATCTGAATAAAGAGATTGCCTTGTGATACAATTGGGTTCTTGGTTAGTTCTCCCCCACACTTGGTTGTTGCTGATTGTGTCTGGACAGAGGATCGCCAGTATCTAGCGTAGATAACTGCTGATAAGCACTCGTATCTTTTTGATGATAACTGTCGTAGTCGTCAAAGTTTGTGCCCCGTACATTCAACGTTTGCATTGAGAATTCTGATTTTGATGTTAGTTAATAGCTGTTTTGAGTTTCAAATATTCTCCAGTTCCAGAAGTACTATCCTTGCTCGCAAATCCGTATCTTCACATCTGTATAAGATCGACCTTACTGATTAACGATGTTGCCCAGATATGTTAAGCTTTCCACACCATGCAAAGCTTCTCCGTCGAGTGTGATTTGTGTGGTGCATGCTGTGTTACATCTAAGTTTTTGCTTTTTCCCTTGTGTATGTGTGTACCTACCGCAGAAGAGTCAGATACTACACTGACCATCTTCACCCTGATTTCTTGCTCCTTTTGGGATAGAAGAAATGGGTGATCTGCGAAGTCCGAATCATTCAGCTGTATCAAATCTGTCCAGTGTATTCCGCGTTTTAATTGTCCAGTCGACCACCAGGAGAAAGAGAAGGGATGAGAGTAGGCAGTTTTTTTGACACCGGTCTTTGGTTGGAATGAATCTACGAACTGTCCGCCATCTACGATCTTGTCGTATAGTCCTTCGTAAGAATTCCACTAAGACGTCTCTAATAATCAACTGGAAATGCCCAAGAGCCTGGACCCATGAGGTACGTGTTAATTAATGAGCTCCTTGATAAGCGCGCCATCTTTGCATTACACATTCAATGTAAATGGATTTCTACGGTGGCCGTTCCAATGGGTTCCAATAGGTGCACTCCTGAACTCGTTTCTCCCAGTCCAAGGTCCCGATAATGCAAAAATTCTAGGAGAAAGTGTCTTTATTAATAAACACATGGAAATACAAAGCAGTACATGGAATTAATACACCTTTCAGGTTACAATTACTCCGAAGAGTATCCGAAACAACGATAGATAAGTGACGTTAAGTCCAACAGCGACCGTATCAATCCAAATATGGCTGTAGCCATATTAAAGATCAAATTTGAACAACATATATACAGATCAGAAGCAAACACAAAAACTTCAATATAAGTACAAAATATAGGAATAATAACAATATACAATGATAAAATCTCAAATTGGAATCAAATAAAATACCAAAATGTCAACAGAAAAAGTCCGTCATGTCATAACAAAAATATGTAAACATGGAGGGATTTTCCAAAAAACAAAACATTCAAAAAGGATTCTACATTCAAGGCACATTATTATTATTATTCAGACTTTAATGTAGGCACATCTATCACGTTTTCCCAGTTACCAGTGTACCTTGAATGATTTGTACTCACCTGAGTAACTTTTTATTGATGCGGATGTGGTTGATTCGGCTCTGTATAATATGACCCAGTGGAACACTTGTGGTTTTGTGTATGCGACGATGTCGGAATATGGTGCTGGCTAGGACGAGTTTGTTGAAGGCACATGGGTTTGCGAATCTCCTACCCCTTTATTTCCTTTCTCCTTGGGTATGAACGTATTCACTAAAATCACTTTATCAGCGCATATCACATTAGCTCATTAGATTAGGAAGATACTCCTAAAACAGCTATTGCCACGCCTTTAAAACTGTTCGAGTTGGTACGAAACTCACTCGGCTCTGAGAACGCAGCACGTAGTTTCAAATGTTTATGGACAACCTGCTTTGAGGTGTTCATTTTGCGGAAGGATGTATAGACGATTTATTTGTCGCCCTTTCAGACATCACATCACATGAACAATCCGTGGGGTCTGTGTTTAAACGGCTACATGAAAATGGAATGAGCATGCACAAAAATAAGTGTGTTTTAGAAGTGCAGACTTAGAAATTTTTCGGACCTCCAATAAGCCCTGATCGGAGACCGTTGAGAGATACCCCATAACAAGTCCCTTAACACAAATTAGAAGTTTTCTAGGTTTAATTAGTCACTGGTGAATTCCCTTAGAAAGCAACTGAAGGATTTTAAATTGACTTCTTCGGCTGCTGAGGCTGTTAAAGAGCTAGTTAATAAGCTAACTGCGGATACATGACCATTGATTATTAAACGAACTTTCAGCACAGGCACATTACTTACTTACTTACTTACTTACTTACGCCTGTTACCCCAAATGGAGCATAGGCTTGTCTCGTGACGCAGTTAGGTGCTTATCGTAGTGTGTGTCCTATCCACTTTCACCACTTCTTCCTGATTTCCTCCTCCACTGGAATCTGGGTTGTTCTCTCCCACAGTTCGTTGTTGCTGATGGTGTCTGGCCAATGAATACGAAGTATTTTACGTAGACAACTGTTCATAAATACTTGTATCTTCCGGATGATGGCTTTCGTAGTTCTCCAAGTTTCCGCTCCATAGAGTAGGACTGTCTTGACATTTGTATTGGAAATCCTGATTTTGGTTTTGTTTGAAAGTTGTTTGGAGTTCCAGATATTTTTCAGCTGTAGAAACGCAGCCCCTGCCTTGCCGATCCGCACCCTCACATCTTCATCGGATCCACCTTTCTCGTCGATGATGCTGCCCAGATATGTAAATGTTTTAACGTCCTCCAAGGCATCTCCATCAAGAGTGATTTGGTTGTTGCATGTTGTGTTGCATCGGAGAATTTCGCTTTTTCCTTTATGTATGTTAAGACCTACTGCTGCAGAGGCTGCTGCTACACTGGTCGTCTTATCTTGCATTTGTTGTTGAGTGTGCGATAGAAGAGCCAGATCATCTGCGAAGTCCAGATCGTCCAGCTGCGTCCTAACTGTCCAGTTGATACCGTGCTTTCCTCCAGATGTTGACGTCTTCATAATCCAGTCGATGACCAGGAGAAAGAAAAAGGGTGAGAGTAAGCAACCTTTCCAGACACCGGTCTTCACCTCGAAAGAGTCGGTTAGCTAACCTCCGTGCACAATTCTTCAGTTGAATCCACCATAAGAGTTCCGTATGATGTTAACTATTTTCTCAGGCACACCGTAGTGTCGAAGAAGCCTCCACAGTGTTTTCCTGTCCACGCTATCGAATGCTTTCTCGTAGTCGATGAAGTTGATGTAGAGTATTGAGTTCCATACAATTGATTGTTACACAATGATCCGTAATGTAGCAATTTGGTCAGTACACGATCGATCCTTCCGAAATCCGGCCTGTTGATCTCGAAGTTGGGCGTCTACGAAGTCCTTCATTCTGTTTAACAATACCCTGTTGAAGACTTTGCCTGGTATTGAAAGAAGAGTGATGCCTCTGTAGTTCTCACACTTGCTGAGATCGCCTTTCTTTGGTATTTTGATCAGGTATCCTTCTTTCCAATCTGATGGTACTTGTTCCTCATCCCAAATCTTCTTGAAGAGGATGTGAAATATTTTCGCGGTTGCTTCTACATCTGCTTTCATTGCCTCTGCTGGAATGTTGTCTGGTCCTGCTGCTTTGCCGCTCTTCATTTGTCTGATGGCCATACTGATCTCCTCAATCGTAGGTGCGCCAATATTAATTGGGAGGTCCTTGGATGCTGCTTCGATGTTGGGTGTGTTCAGTGGAGCTGGTCGATTCAGGAGTTCCTTAAAGTGCTCTACCCACCTATTTCGCTGTT